TTTCCAAAGGGCACTGGCCACTGCTACGGTGCATGGACCTGGAGTCCTGCACTTTGTAAGGCAGCCCTGGAAAACAGCTACTACAGATAGAGTCTCTTATGCTCCAGGAAGAGGAAGACCTGGGCAGTTGGGTTATATTTAGATGTTGAGGAGATACCAAGACCAAAATGCTACCATTTAGCAGAAGAAACAGATGAGCATTTCCTCCACCAGCTCACGTGATTTGTGGGTCTGGTTCATTCAGAATAGGAGATGGTGCCTATATGAAACCTTGGAGTGTTTCCTTTTCTCTCTATGAATTTGTCAATCACTTTTTGAACTCAAACTTTTCGCCTCCATCTTTGTGGCAAGGAATTCCCCAGCTTGATGATGAGCAAGTCGGTACCACTTTCTGGTTGCTCTGAGCCCTCCACACTTTCCAGTTTCATCTTATGCTCTTTTTACTGGATGTGATATATAGAGCCCAAGCAGATGCAGCCACAAACATGGGGAGAACCCAAATATGACTGTGTCTCCTATAAAATTGTATTTGTGGTCCTTGTACATCCTCCAGGCTCATTCCAACCCACAGTTCACTGAAAGTCAACCCAAGGCTTGGTGCAAGCCTGTCAGAGAAGAGCTGCCCTCCTTGCTGCCTCCCTCTGCACTCTGACCCATTTGTATTACAGCTCTGTGCCAACAGATGGTTAAAATGGCATGGAAAACCAGAAAGGAAAGTTGCATGTGAACTTTGTCCAGCTGCCTCAGCACCTCAGAGCCCTGCCTATGTCCAGTGTCCTGCCGTGAACCTCCTGGGAAGGAAACCTCTGCAGTAACTTCACCCTCACTCCACCGTCACAAGGCAAATTAACCTGCTCAGCCCAGTTCTGCTTTGTAAAAAGAGGAAATGGAACGAGTCATTCCTGGAGCAGGAGCCTGACACAGCCCGAATTTCGGGCCCTGCTTGCAGAATGCTACTCAAGGCTCTTGACTCAAAGAGAGCTTTGACCTGCGAAAGAAGAAGTAGAGGCACGAGGGGTGCTTGCAACAGCCGTATGCCTGCTTGCAGGACAGCTTGGCGCAGGGCTTTCACATCCTCTTCTCGGCCAGCCCCTCCGGAGAAGGAAACTGCAAGACAGAGGTTCACACAGGACACAGTCCCAGCGGCACCACTTTCAATGCCCTCCCCCACCACCTGCCTTCCCAGTTCATTTTCTGGCTTATTTGGAATGCCCCAAGCAAAACTCCTTTGCTTTTTCCTATCGTTGCATTGGAATATTTTAGCTACGGCCAATATAGGAATAAATAAGTAAAGAAGGGATGGAAGCCCTGCTGGTTGCAGGGCGCTTATGGCAACATCGGCACTGAGCTGCGCCAGGAAGGCTGCGGCCACGAGGATGATGATGGAGCGATGCAGCCCGTGCACAACTGCAGGGCAGCTGATCCTCAAGAGACTCTGCTTGCCTCGAGGGCCACGCTCGGTTTTTCCACCTCCAACCCCAAAATTAGGGGCTGGGGTTTCCAGGGACCACAGAGTCCCCTTCACCTGGGGCCACGTCAGCCCAGCACAGCCCGAGCTCCTTCCCACAGCTGCTCCGCGCTTTCTGCGCCAGTGACTGCTCCAAAAACCAGCAGTGATTCAGAGGGCTAATCCCGTTTTAACCTAAATTCGGGCAGCGCAGGGGAGCAGCAGCATAATCTTTCAGGGCAAAAAAAAAAAAAAAAAAAAACACTGGGCATTCAGTAGAGCTTTTCTTTACCCAAAGGAAAGCGCTTGTGCCCTACACTGCAATGCTTCAGAGACCTGAATTACAGCGGTTCTTGCATTATCAGCAGTTGTAAATATTTATATTCTGGAGCCCCAAGGGCTTCTCAGCGAAAAGGGTGCTACAAAAGAGTGGCTTTTCCAAGTCTCTCAGCTGGAGGACAGAAAGCTGCAGGCCGTGGGGATGGGATTTGCCACGAAGGCATCTCTGCTTGGACCCCGATGAGCCCGAGCGCCTCCGCAGCGGCAAGCAGAGCTGCCTAACCCGAAATCCCCGCAAATGAGGCAATGCTCAGGCCGTGCAAAACAAAAACCTTCATTACTGCCTCGGGCCGGGACCTTGCTCCCTGCGGCTCTTTCCCAGGAAGTCCTGACTAAAATCTCGGGAAAGTCCCGGACACCAGGGCTCTCCCGCAACGGGATGCCTCCCTGCACAGCAATAGCAGCAGCGATTTTCTCCCTCTTTCCCATTGGCAGGCAGTGGCTTTCTGCAGGAAAGGGGAATTTCCACGGGTTTCCTAACACCGGTTCACTGCAGGCTCTGCTGCCAGCAGCCCATTCACCCTCCCTGGTCCCCAGGACTTCGCGCCGTTAGTGGCAGGAGATGCATCAGGCAGGTAAGCCAGGAAGGAAGATGCATAGATTGGCACAGATTAAAAAGTAAATAATAAATAAACAAATAAATACAACATCCAAGTTTGCTCCTAGCATTTAGCAATGTGCTCTCTGCCTGTTCACTGCATTCCAGTGTTGCAAAGCAGCCTTTTGCTCTAGGGCTCCAGGGCCCTGTTTGCCTTTGCGCCAGGCCATTCCCATGGATTTCTGAGTCTCCCTCGCTCTAGCTCCAGGGTTATTCCAGCTCTGGGGCCCATTATCACAGCCCTCATCGAAATGCCAAGGTCTGCTTCAGGGAAAGAAGGTAAACAGGCTGCAGCAGGACGGTACTTTGCAAAAACGCACTGCGTGGCCACGTCAGATCTATACCCAGGGGTGCTTTTTACCTTTAACATCCCACGCGTTGCTCCTCTGCAATAACCGTCTGCAATAACCAGCCTGGTACCTTCGGGCAAGAGAAGCTGTATAGGGATAGCCATGTGCAAGGTCTGCCCTTACAGACAAAAAACACCCCAGAAAAGGAAGCCTCCACATGCTATATGATGCTTGCGAATATAATATGTTATTTTAAGAAAAATAACCTACTCCAGCATGGCTGTTCAGAAAATTTTAGATTGAACAAGCATTTTGCCACACAAGAGCACTTCCTAGGACCTCAGCCTTCCTTCATGCAATGCAACTCGCTCATCCCATCCTTCCTTTGCAAAATGCAATTACTGTGCAGAGGAATGGAGCCATCAGTCTCATTATTTTTTGCCCAAGGGCTGGCTGGAGGCCCCTTCATGCTACTCATCATATGTCACCATTCAGGCCAGTTTCTTGCATGCAAATTCCCCCCAGTATTCACAAACGCATGCAGGTTGTTGCATACATTTGCATTCAGGGCTCTGAGGGGCCTGACAGCATTTTTGAGTGGTGACTGTCAATTCCTTGATGCCCTCCACTGAGACAACCTGATCAGCCGCGTGTTCCTCCCTTCGGACAGTTTGTAGGATTTCATCCCAAAGGCTGAAGGTTTTTTCAGTGCAAGTTTTCAAATGCCTGTCTGTAGAGCCACCGCAGCTGTCCTCTAAATCTACATTTTAAACAACATCCAGACAACTTACATTTAAGAGCCTGTTTGGGTTTGCTTATTCTCAGAGACATTTGCTCCAACTATCGGATTTTCAGAATTAAGAGCACGTCTAATGAAAGCAAATGGTTAGTGGTTATTCAGCTGCCAGAAATCAAGTGCCTTGACAGATCACATTATAAAACCCATCTCCTAGTGCAAATTTTTGCTATTTGAGAATAAACACCCCAGACTCTTGGCTGACACGGAGAGCAGCGTTCAGGAACGCTGAGCACTGCACAATCCTTCCAGGTAGGTTAATTAGGCATCGGGCTGACAAACAAACCAAACCTTTTATCTGCTGCCCCAGCCCTCGCATTTTACTGTGGCATTATTCAAAGTCAAAACAGTAACCAGGAGAACTGAGAGTTTACTACCTGCTCGAGGAGACCGAAAGGACATCGTGTCCTTTCGACACTCTGCACATAATGAAAGTTTCATACACATGTGCAAGCCACGTGCAAGATAAGTTCTCTCTGCTTCAGTCTTTTCCTATAGATTTGTCTCAGGCTTTTCACTTTGTTTTTCCATCTTGGACATGCACACACACAAAAAAAAACCCTTGGCGCATGGTACAAGAGAGCTACATACTGCTTAATTACTAGGAGTTTGAAGGAAAAAAAAGCACTACACAAAGCACACCTATTAAGCTGGAACAGGAGCTGCTACCCGGCTAGCAGAAAAAAACTATTCAAAATTGCAGAATAGAAGAACTGAAGCAGTGCTCAGTGCACAAGTGATTGGTGGAATGATGGGGAGTCATCAAAAATGCAAGCCCAAAGGTCCCACGAATGTGTGTGAACACCTGAGATTCTTCAGAGAACTCCTGAGCTGCCCAAATCTAGACCATGCTGAGAACCTGCTGCAGAGGGGACAACCCTGCAGGGCTTCAGGGACAGCCAAGCACACCCTGTCCCTCTGCCTTCACAAGAGAGATGAGTTTTCCCCTGCCACCAGCTGCAGCTGTGGAGAGACCAACTTGTTATTGCACCATCCCAACATCGAGGGCTCAGCAATGCTTTTCCTTAAAAAAAAATCCAGGGGGATTCAGGGACAGCCTTTAAGAGGAAGTTTCTGCAGCTTTGGAGAGACCAACTTGTTATTGCACCAGCCCAACATCGAGGGCTCAGCCTTTCCTTAAAAAAAAAATCCAGGGGGACTCAGGGACAGCCTTTAAGAGGAAGTTTAAAAAGCAGATGTTTTTCCCTCGCCTCCCCAACTCAAGGGTACCAGATCATTACAATACCAGACTTCTCCGGTGAGCTTTGAGGCTGCCATCGACCCACTAATTGCTGTTTAGAATTGCTTGGCCAAAAGATGAGTTAAACACAAGTCCCTGAGAAGCTCCGGGGTGAAATGGGGTCCAGCTACTTCACTATGAATTAAGCTACAGCCCGGTCTCCAGGTCAACCCGGTACTCCCCATCCACGTGCTGGCCCCAGCAGGCCACGCCGCGTAAGCGCGACACACGGTCAGCTTTACAAAACGAGCCTTTGTGCCACATTAGCACCACAAGGAGCCCCACCTTACCGTGGTGGTGTCTTCCATGAGGCCCCTGATCTTCTCCACGACGTCGTTGCGCCTGTGCTGGCGCAGGGCGCTGATGAGCTGCGCCAGGCTGGCCTCGGGCCCGCGGATGGTCCAGTGCTGCAAGGCCGCGTAGGCCCGTTCGTGGTCGGCCGTGTAGCCGTTGGAGAAGGCGGCCACCTCCCTCTCGCTGGCGTTGCACAGGAATTGGTAGATATCCTTCCACTGGCTCCCCACCTGGGCTGCCACGAGCTTCAGGATGTCTATGCCTGCGGGACAGAAGAGCTACGGATGAGGCGCAGGTCTCCTGGCTTGCAGCCTCCCCTCATTTCTCACCTTTTCCATCCTCTACATGGATGGCCACACACACATTAGTTTTTTTTAATGATTTTGCATTAGCAAGAGGAAGCTGCTTACCACTCTGGGTGCAAGGAGCTCAGCAGACAAGCAGCTTCCTCAACATGCCCAAACTCTTTTAACATCTACTGTGTAAGTTAAGCTTCTTTAATCCATCCTTACATGTCAGTACAGGCATATTCAGAACAACTGAGTAGTGACTGATGCCCACAAGCTCTTAAAGCATGCCTTGTTTGACATGGAAAAATATACCCAGATGGTCTATCACCCCACGTTCACTAAATTTCTCAGGAGAGAAGGTGTGAGCATAAGCTTGGACTAAAAGTGCACCAAACACTCAACCCCTGCTTTGCAACAGCCCATTTTTTCAGCAACATAGAAAATAACATTATTTAGCCCCAAAACAGGCTGAACCTTGAGTCTGTAGGAATACCCCTCCATGGAGACTACAATGAGAGAGGGCAACGTGCTTGTCCTTAGACCTGTATCGATGTTTAGGCTTTGAAGAGAAGCTGGATTAAGGGATGAGTCACTGAACCATCTCTACGTAGATGATTAATGTTTCCATAACAGGGAACACCTATAATAGTTATAAGCATATTTAAAATCACTCCTGATGCAGATACAGTAGAATGACTCAGGTGGATGATAGAAGACTCATATTCCCATATCAAGGAGCAGTTTTACATTAATAGAAGATTGGGTATGGAATTTGAAGAGTACAAAGACCACTTTTCCTCCAGATCTCTGCTCCCAAGCACTTGAGACACGTTGGTTCACAACTATGAGGATTTTCTCCTTGAAGCTTTGGGAGCAATGCAATAGCACATTTGCCCTTGTGTCTACTAGAGGTCAGGAGTTAAGTCTTCATTTGAAGTCACAACCTCTCTTCACAAGCACCAATTAAGCCTCTTTTACCAAGAGCTGAAGATCTTTCAAACAACCTTATGAAGGGTCAGCAAAAGCCACCCACACCACATGTTCAGTTTTTCAGAGATGTTGCCACATCTCAGGTTTCTTCATGAGCCAGCACTCTGCCATTACTACACAGGCTATTTCTTCTTCCATCTACGAACCCAACATCTGTGTCAGCAAAAATTGCTGCTTACAGAGAAAGATTTCATAGCTCTGAACTTTCCCACAGCTGCAAAATTTAGCAACTTTAATGCAATTTAGTCCAACCTCCCAAGTGCACCCTCAAGTCTGGGCTCCAAGAGCTCCAAACCATATTTCTGACAAAAAAACAAAGCAAAACAAACAAACAAGAGGAACGCACAGACTTATCAAAACTGCCATATAAAGAAAATCGTGTTTACTTTTAAATTACATACTGGCTCACTGTTTTCCAGCAGTCATAGCCCTACTGTGCTTAGAACATCTAATCTGGTACTCAACCTGCTTGATAAACAGAAATGTCAACTCACTTTAAAACACATCACAATGTGCATATTCCTACTCTCCTCCCACTGTAATGAAAAAGAAAAAATACATATATATTTGGCAGCAGGTTCAGTGCAATTTGGGCTCAACCTCTCCCTTGCAGGACTTGGCCATGCTCATTGTCGAGAGGACTGGGCAGCACTGAAAAGCCTTTGCAGGCTGTTTCTCATCAGAAATCAGGCGTATTTGAGGGGATTTCTGGCAGACCCTGCCTGCAGACGTGCACAAATCTCTGCCTACCAGCCCGTGCAACCCGTAAGAACGGCAAATGGGTCCTGTGTTGGGCGTATTCCGGGCACGTGGGGACTCAAGGCTCTTGCGGATGCTGCGAGCGCGTTGTTAGCACATTTCTCTAATCCTCGAGGCAGACGAGGCGGAACGGTTGGACTAATGGGATCTGCAGCGACGCTGGTGCCGTCCAGGCATGCTGTGCTGGCAGCCACGCGTGCAAATCCGCAGGGCACATCTAAATCAGCAAGTTACAGGTGTTCACCAAGAGCCCCCTCCGGTGCGGCGAGAAAACGCGGAGATTTAGAACCATATTTAGAACATGCTACACAGGCAAGGGATTTAAAGGAAGGAGCTGCCCCGCTGAGCTGCTGCTTAAGCAGCTTCAATCTGGGGCTGATCGTTGGCAAGACGAGGGGTTGCTTCCCTGGCTCCCTCCTCGGCAGCCAGGGCCGCAGGGTTCGGATTTGGCTGTGGGAAGGTTCAGGGAAAAAAATTATTCTCATTACTCAGAATAAGCTCCAGACAAAGAAAACACTCCCTAGCATTAAAGAATAAAGAAGGGCTGTGAAATACACTATTGTGCTTTACGATGGGTCTAATTATCTGAGGCACATAAAAATGTTATTGCCCATAAAGCTCCAACACGCAGACGCAGGCAGCAAAGCCTCATCTTGTTCATACTCCAGGTATTGGCACGCAGACCCGGCTGGGCTTAGCCCGAGTCAGCTCTGATAACCCACACGCTTGGAAACACAGCCCAGGCCCTCCCGACGCCTCCGGGTCCGGGCAAGCCGTGAAGGCAGCACCGAAACGACCTGCGCTCCTGGCGAGCTACCAGCCCCAAGGGCCTGTGGGCATCACAGGCCTATGCTCAGAAAGCAGCACATAAGCAAAATGGGATTTAAAAATAAATGAATAAAAAAGGAAAAAAGATGACACTGATTTTTTATCAAATCCAACTGTATAAACGCAACAGAACCCTAAGTTCAAGCCTGTTGCATCTTTTTTAAAGCTACTAGAAAGAGGATTTTTTTAAAAACTCCCCAGGGATAATGAACTGCAAGTGGTCCAGGCTTACGGAGCTAAAGAACAGGCATGATTTGGAGAACTAGCAAGCAGAATGGCTCACCCATGCAGCCAATGTGCTTTGAATTCCATTCCTCAATATGGAAGGGATAAACCTAAATATGAAGGTGGGAAAAAGCTCTGCTTCACTTGTGACCTTGGTGCACAAGAACTATGTATGCCAGGAAGGATAAGCCAGCTTGGTGCTACTCATTTACCTACCAATGTCCCTCATGGTAGGAGAGGTTTCCTCCACTTGCATCAGGCCAGTATGAAGCTTTAGAGCTGGGGGAGCTCTGCTCCTATCGCTCCTGCACAAGTTGTCAGTCATCCAGAAGCATTAAAACATAATTGCCGTTTTATGACCCTGCATAGAACACTTAGGCCACCCCGGAAAGGAAAAACCCATAGAGCATCTGCTCCTATCTATGCATTTAATGCTTATAAATCCCAGTGTTTATAGCTTCTGTGGAAGTGGGCAAGTTTTCAGTTGGCCCAACTTGATTTACGCCAGTTTACACACACCGACGTGGTATTTAGTCCTATGCTTTCAAGCAAAATTTACAACACAAAGCACTGTAAGTCCTAGTGACGTTTACAATTTTGGTATATTTAATCACACAACTCAATAAAGTGGCCCCATAAACATGTTTATATCCTTGGGCAATAATATCCCCTGGCCCCAGAATGCAGCGCACATCACAGAGCCTAATGATGTATGATAATTGTCAGAGAACAAATGTTCCATTAGAACAGAGTTGGAAACCTTTACCTTAATACTCCAAGAACCTTAAATTCATTTTTGTGCTGCTAGTAAACTAATTTAAGCCCCATATGTTCACTGCATCCACTAGACTATTGTGCAAACAAAACTCCAAAGAGATATGGAAGAGACAGACTTGAGTAGAGATTTGGCTCGAGTCAGTTGGAAAACCATTACTCCCTCTGTTCTGAAAAATAAGGTTAAACCCATTTCATGACAACTTGCTGCTGCACGCTGCCACGTATTACTGCTCGAGCCATTTACAGTAACTTAATTCACTTGTTCAAGACTAGAATAAAATGGTAATGCTTATAATAGGCTTACAGTCATAGTATTTCTACATTTCCAGAACCCTTCCAAAATTACTCCGGGGAGTACTAAGTGTCGCAGCTTCCAGTTGTGATGAGAACGGGTCCATAAGGGTTTATCTATCTCATGCTTTTCATTTCATCTGCTTAAAATCTGTGTTTGTCTGTTCTGGCCACTGTAGTGCATCCCACTGGGGTAAGGAAAGCAAGTAGCTACAGCTGCACCTGAAGCCCTGGGTCTTCTTAGCCACCAGTTTTCTCAACTACCTGGACATTTTCCCACTATGCTCATCTGAACACTGAGGCTAGAAGCCACTCCAGGACAAAACACAGTTAAAACCACTGAGCTCTCAGGGGATGGAACTTTAACCCAGCCATTCCACAATTCCCACAGCACAAAGCCGAAGAGGTTCTGAGCTTGCCAACAATGAGGAGATGTCCAAGAGGACCTTGTACCCATGCTGAAACCTGCACACACAAGGAAGGCTGCGGATCCCCCATCGCATCTCCCCAGATCGCCTCATCTCCAGGACACTGGAATTAAGCAGGAACAGACCTCGCTCTGAAGTCACAGCTGGTACCAAACCTCACCTGCAACTTATGCAGCAGAAGAGCAGGGTCAATTTGGAAGGATTTAGGACATCCAGGCCACTCTTGGCCATACCACTCACACAAACACCTACCTAAACCTAAGCACTGGGATGAGCTACGCCAGGTAACCACCTAGGCTGTAACAACCCCTGGATGCCTATGTAAGGCAACACTCTTTAAAAAGAGTGATCCAGTTAGTATTTTTACTATTAGGATAAAATTGGAGATTTTCTGCCTAAACTTACTATTATGGTGTTTAAACACAGTATTTAAGCTGTCTGCTATGAAATTGCATTGGTATTGTGTAGAGAAAGGGGTCTTCAGAGCAAAAAAAAAGAAATGCTTGTAAAGGGGTTGCTACAAGGATGCTAGTGCACGACAAGGCTTCCACGAGGTCACAAGAAATGCTCAGGTGTGGGAAGGACAGAGGTGGGTTTTGCCCCTCAAACCAGGGTCCCAGGTAGAAGCACAGTGCAAGCCTCTAGGAGCAGGTCACCTGGAGCAGCTCAGACCT